TATAGGGTATCCGACTTGCCTGAGGGTCGGATTACCGAGACAGAGCAGGCCGACATCCAGGACAGAGTGACCTCTGCCCTGAACGGGGCATTGAGAGCGCTGGCAGCTTTACAGGTGTCATCCCTCGTCAATGTCTTGTTGGCTAGGCGGTTTTCAGTTTTGAAAAATCGCCCGGTCGATGAGCCTTACCGTTCCAGACTGTTGACTGCCCCCTTCTCAGGGTCCACTCTTTTTGGAGGGGCCCTTCCTTCTGTTCAGAAGGATTTGAAGGAGGACTCGGTCGCCTCTGCACTTCTGGTGAAGAGGATTCAGGCTGAGAAGGCCAGTACCTCGCAGGGGTCAGCGCCTCCTAAGAAGAAGGCTAAACCTTCGGCTTCGCAGTCCTCTGCGCAGCCCAAGTATAAGCCTCCCTTCAAGGGCAACAAATGGAAGGGTAAGAAGGGTAAGAACCCTCCTGGGGGTAAGAAGAAGGGTTCCTGACTCTTTTCTTCCCTCCTTGGTCGTGTCAGACGACGAGTTTGGCCGGGAGGAATGCAGTCCTCTCGGCTCAAGCTTAGGTCCTTCTCCCGCAGGATTAGGCTTCGGGTCAGCAGACGATTCTCTTGCCTGGCAAGGTCTCGATCTGCCTCGACCAGATCTTCCTGTGGGGGGTCGTCTTTCTGCTTTCCTTCCAGAGTGGAAGGAAATTACGGAAGACGCATGGACCTTGTCTGTGATCAAGGAGGGGTTAGGCATTCCGCTAGTGCGGGATCCGCCCTTAGCGTCAGAGCCAATCTTTTTTCCTCCACCGGGGGATCCGGAAAAGGCTCTGGCGCTCCAGGAGGAAGTAAGGACCATGCTTTCCAAGGGCGCGGTCGAGGAGGTTCCTATGTCGGGATGCACTCCCGGGTTCTACTCCAGAATGTTTCTGGTTCGGAAGAAGTCCGGGGCGTGGCGTCCCATCATAGATCTAAGTGCCTTCAACAAGCACGTAGATTCTCCTCACTTCAAGATGGAGACTCCTCGGGGTATTATCGCCTCCGTGAGAGAGGGAATGTGGGCGACTTCAGTAGATCTAAAGGACGCCTACTTCCACATCCCCATCAAGAAGTCGGCACGGAAGTACCTCCGTTTTACTTGCAACGGAAAGGTCTTCCAGTTCCGGGCCATGCCGTTCGGGCTCACGACTGCACCTTTGGTTTTCACCAAGCTGCTGCAGGTGGTCGTGGGATTCCTGCACTCTCGAGGAATAGATGTTCACATCTATTTCGACGACTCCCTCATGCTCCACCTAGTGAGAGAGTCTCTGGTGCAGGTCACCCGGTTGGTTCTGAAACTCTTACTCAAGGTCGGCTTCATTCCTTCCAGAGAAAAGTCGGAGGTTTCCCCATCTCAGGATTTTGTTTTTCTGGGGAACCGTTTCAATACGGTTCAGGGCATCGCCCTTCCACCGATGGAGAAGTTCGAGAAGGCCAGGGCTTTTGCTCTGACCTTTATCGGCCGGTCTCAAGTCCAGGTACGTTGGTTTCTCAGTTTTCTGGGATATCTCAACGCCCTGGCTGATGTGGTCCCCTGAGGGAGACTTCACATCAGGCCTCTCCAGATGTTTCTCCTTGCTAACTGGATCCCTTCTTCAAGAGATTGGGAAGCCTTGCTTCCTCTGAACCAGTCGGTCAAGGAGTACGCACGCTGGTGGACTCATCAGGACAATGTTCTCCGAGGGGTTCCTTTGTCCAAGCTGGTTCCCACTATGACCCTGTACACGAATGCATCCATGACAGGGTGGGGAGCTTATATCGACGGTCGGGGGAGTGGTCTGGGGAACAGCTCTCGAAGCACAGCAATGTGCTCGAGATGATGGCTGTTATGTTGGCGCTGCAGTCTTTTCGGGAGATCCTGCATTCCAAGCTGGTTTGTGTGGCTACGGACAACACTACGGTTGTCGCGTATCTGGAGAAACAGGGGGGGAACCAGGTATCACACCCTGTGTGCCCTCGCTATCCGCATTCTTCTTCTTTGTTAGGAAATGCAGTTGACAATTTGTGTCAAGCATCTACCAGGCAGGTTGAATGTTCTGGCGGATACTCTTTCCAGGCGCCGCCAGCCGGTTTTGACAGAATTGCAACTGAATCCCTCGATTTTCGAGGGAATTTGTCCGATATGGGACAGCCTCACATAGACCTGTTCGCCATTTCACTGAACAATCAGTTGCCAACGTTTGTCTCCCCGGTTTCAGATCCAAGGGCTTGGGCCGTGGACGCTCTGTCTCTGGATTAGGAGGGAATGCATGCATAATTATTATGCATACCCGCCCTTCAACCTGGTGGGCAGTGTGCTGCAGAAGTTTCGGGTGCATCAGTGTTCCCTCCTCCTGATAGCGC